TGTCTCGGCAACATGAACCTGGTTAACACCTTGAGCACCGAGAGTCTCGGCCAAAACATTACCCATGTGTTGGGGCTTGAATGCGATTTCGAATGGGTAATCGAGCTTGTACTGGGTCATGGTAGTAAGAGTGATGTTCTTTGGATAGGCGAAGTCTGGTTTTGGCGAACGGTCAACGTCACCAAGAAGTTGGGTAATTTCTCGGACACGATCGGATCGGTAGTTGAAGAAGAAAACTTGGTCGTTATCTGGGGTCATTAGTTTGGTTGATGGGGGTTTTAGGAATCTTGATCCATTTACCTTGGATACGAGCCTCCTTCCCTCCGAGAATAATAGGCTTCAAGAACTCATCGTTCTCGCCTTTCTCATACCTTTCCTTGATTGTCTTGACTGGGTCACTGCTCTCCTCTCCTTCACCGTTGCAAAGACCACTCAATGCGACTTCGACTCTGTCCCATCTCTTGTCACGGTCCATAGCGTAGAATCTGCCCACCACTGTCGCAACCTCACCGATTCCAATCTCCTTGATCTTCTCGAGAAGGGCCTCCATATAACCAGCGCCGGATTTTGGGTCGGTGTCACGTCCATCACCAAAGAAGTGGATGTAAACATGTGGAATTTCGAGCTCCTTTGCAACTTTGAGGAGGGCGTATAAGTGATCTTGCTTGGCGTGCTATTGTTACTCGAGTAAGTATTGAATTTGCCTGTCGATTGGACTAGGGGAGTACCTACAACGCCACCATCCGAGATCAAACCACAGAGGTGAAGGCGGCCATTGCCATCCTTGGCTGCCTTGAATGCCTTCATGACAACCTCATTCTTGTTCAGCTCTCCCTTCTTGATTGTTTGATCAATTCTGACAACATCCTGCCATACAACTCTTCCGGCACCAATATTTAAATGTCCGACTTCCGAATTACCCATGAGGCCTTCTGGGAGTCCAACTGCCAGGGAGGATGCCTCAAGCTTGGTATATCCGTCTGCGTTATTGGCGAAAGCATCCATTACTGGAGTCTCGGCGTTTGTGATCGCATCTCCATCTTTGGGTGAATTTTCACCTGGAACTCCCCATCCATCAATGACAACTGCGCCAAATCATTACAATTAGCCATGAGACTTCAAGATATACAAGTATATAAAATAGTGCAAGTATGTAATCTGGTCTCTTCTTTGTACGAGGTAAAGGGGGTAACAGTTTCTCAGTATTGAGCTGAACTGTTGGAATAGAGGTTCGAGGCATTGAGGGCAAGTCGCAGCATGTACATGCCAAATGGATAGGACGAATCAACAAAATCCTTTGGGGCAATCGATAGATATATCAATAGATTGAGGATACGTGGAATCTTTTGACGTACTCAGGACAGCTTTATTCTCGACTTGGACCATTTTGGCGAAATGAAATGTTTCGAATCTAATAAATACAGGCTATATCAGCTCCAGCTTCGGTACCACCAAACAAAGAGCTTTAATGACCAAATCTCTTTCTAAGAGAATGAAATGGGTATTGGGGACTTGATATCAACTTACAAGAGAAAAGACAAATTTAAATCTATCGATAAATTGGGTATGTACAATGAAGACTTGAAGGATTTTTGAATGACTTCAAAATAAGCAAGTGAATTGTTGAGAAATAACTCCAAGAAGCTTTTTGCGCTTGTGGTGGGGTGATGGATTTTAGGGCCCCTCCAGTGCAAAGCCGTATTTGTGAAACCGCCGCGATAAGAGCGAACCTGCCTTGCTCTTCTTAGCTAGCACAAGGACTAATCGGACCTCTTCACATCCAATCAATAACACATACACATACATCGGGATACATTTGAAGCTTTGAAGCTTTGAAGATACTTAGGAATCTTCGACTCGGGTCCAGACATTGACTTTTGTCCACGATACGAAAGCTTGTCAGCTCTACGATCGTTCATTTAGTGAAGATGTCGACTACTCCATCGCAAGCCACACCATCCCAAATCCCCCCAACGATGATTCTCCCGGAGGGTCTCACCGCAGATTATATTGATACAATCCCCGTTCTTTGCGAAACAATTTCTCGTCTTCAAAACTTCTCTCCAAGCAATCCGTCCGCAGCTTCCCCGCCTGCCGCGACTCCTTCGTTCAATGCAAACAGCACAGGGCCATTGAATATCAAAGATATTTATGCTGCGACCGATGGCATCAAACATAAATTACAAAAGGCGAGAGTGGGTGTAAAGAGCATGCCAGATATGCATAGGACTATTGAAGACCAGGAAGCGGAGATAAGAGAGTGCGAGGAGAAGATTGCACAGCAGAAAGAGGTGTTGAATTTGTTGATGAAAGTAGGATTGAATATGAAGAAAGAGCGAGAAGAGAGAGGATCAGGAGATAAAATGGAAACCTGAAGGAACGGATAGTATGAAAGAGAAAAAGAGGAAGAGAGACAAAACATAGGCGAGCATTACACTTACGTCGAGGAACATGTATCATGAGGAATGAAGCTCAACGGACCCAGTCGGGTGCTTAGCTCATAGATCATAGAACACCTTGTGAGGTACACTAGATTTAACCCCTTCAAGATTGAAGAGGTTATTTTGGAACATTATCGTGGGCGGAGGATTTTGAATGGCGCGTCATTTGTCCAGTAGCCTTGCAATGAGTTGATGCTCGTGTGGAGCAAAATACACACCTCATTATTGAGGTGCAATGCTATCATGGATTACATACAATATCAAGAAAAGAATATGAAATTACAAAAGAAACTTGTTATTGCTCAGCTATCCCATTACCTACCTGAATGTTCATTGCATCTCCATCACTGACCGATCTGCGACAAAAGACTACGTACTTCAAGGGAATTAATGGTAATTATCGTCCAGCGAGCCCAATCTTCTTCAGGATATCATCAAGTCCAACTCCGGGTCCTCCGGGTATGACATCTGTCCAAATTTCCTCTTTTAATCTTTCCTCTTCTGGTAAGATGCTCCAGTTCGGACTATGCTCTGCTTTAAGCCATTTGAAGTCGTCAACCTGATCCCACTGATTCTTGACCGATTCTTCTGTAACGTTCTAAACATGGTGTCAGTGTGCTGTAATGACCAAACCCTATGATAAACTTACCTGCGAATTCGGGATTGGCGAGAACCTCACATTGCTACAGTCCTCAATGATGGGCCGGCTAGCACAATGCAGGTATATATCTACATTTTTACAATCATGCATTCTGACTTGTCTTGATGTGACGACGATTATACTATCCTCGATTCCAGTGATATGTGCTGCCCCCGCAACATGCCCAGCTATGACTAAAGAATGCTTAATATTCTTCAAAGAAAGCCCAGCAAAAGGAGCACCATTGGCCGTTGGGACTGACATATCAACAATGCACCCATTAAGCTTCGTTATGGCACCAGATGAAGTTGCACGGGATGCTGAGGAAGGTAGGATGATGTGAAGACCTGTGTGACCTGTAATATTGATGGTGCTTGCTTGTGAGAAACTCGGCTTTCGAATTGGACCAGAGGCAGTGGCCATTTCGGCATTGTAATTTTTTGAGAATGAAGGCAAATCTCCAACAGTATCTCTAGCACTTTCCTCGCCGGGTGGTGTCATTAAATTAGCTGGCGTCGTGGCCAGTGATGATTCAGTAGACGACAATAAAGAAGCCTTCAAAGTAGCGCTAAGACTTTCCTGAGCTAGCTGAGCGGCATCATTGATAGAAACAGCGGAACTATTCTTGCTTGAAGTAAACCGGAATCTAGTTCTTGGTGCAGCCTTGGCTTTCGCTTCTTGAAGGTTCTCCGAGAGACCTTTGATTGCCTAGTCATCATTAGTACAAGATATGCATCATCACTCTTCCTGGAAATGCTTGCCTGTGAATAAGTTCTCTGGTCATATGCTGGAAGGTAATCCGTAGCATCGGCAACTTCGTTAGATAGCCTTGTAATACTGGCAAGGCAGTGGTCTGTAGCATCTTGCCTTTCTCCTCCAACTAAAGAGAGATTCCCAAGCTGGCTAATACGCTGTTGAAGGTCTGTCAAAATGTTAGTATTTTCAATTCAATTAGTCGAATGGTAATCGACTTCCCTGTCACTTCTTCTTGGAAGTGTCGATAGAATCGTTCTTTCACATCCTGGGACGATTCTGTTGGTTGATTGAACGAAACACGAACAGCGGGCATTGTCTTCTCCATTATGTCAAAAGCTTTATTGTATAGAGAAAACTACTGTAATACTATATGACAGGTCTTCTCGCCGCAAGCAAACAAGATTTGTTGTTTTCAATGTTCTGATTTGCCACCGAAATTGGGTCAACTGATTTCACGAGTTGTTTGAAGGGGTGGAAGCAGATGACTCGATGTTTCTAGCACACCACTTCGCGGCTGGTACCAAAGCCGTACAACCTTGCAGTGTTCTGAAAATTTGTAGTGAAGGTATACGAGAGGTTGCGAATCGTGCTTATTATTTTTTTGGTAAAGATAGAAGGTCTGCAAATTTGTAGGAAATACGGAGTCTATGAATATGTTCTGCGTCTCAAAAGGTCGATCAATGAGGGGATGGTTGAGGGCCACAGCATATTATTGCGGGGTTAAATAAACAGTCAATATTTGCCGGCAGTAGTTCAACAATTATCACACACGTGATTACAGATCAGAAGGTAACCTGGAAGAGCTTATGAAGGCTGCCCTTGGTCAAGTTTCAAAATTGTGGCTAATTTAAGAATTATAATGAATTTTTGTGCACTCAGGTGTTGATAAAGCTTCTCGTTGTCGATGGAAGTTTTATCTTTGCCGATTGTGCTCCTCCTGCAGAAAGTAGACCCTGGAAACTGGTCGCTCATGCGTTGGGCGTTGTGGATCCCCTCTCAGTAGTTATAATGTTGAGCTGGACAGTATCATGAAGTCGCCATCAGCCCGTGAGCCTGGAAGGCAGGTCTTCATGTTTCAAAGAGTTGTAACTCTACGTGATTTGCAAGCCCTAAACCTATGTACATCGTTGTTCGAGGCCTCCGGATTATGAATACAAGGCCCATTAGGATCTAGCTGGTACTTCAATACCATATCTCTCCTTGATTCTCTCCCTTCTTCTCTCATCATAACCTGGTCCGTATATGCCTTCAAGTGATTAGTTAGATGCCCTTCCATATAAGTAGAAAAACATACCTCGTCCCTCTCCCAATTCCGCTACAGTCTGTTCAACAGGTATCCTTCGATTCTTCCTCAAAAATTCCTTGCGCTCGAATTCATCGACATTTGGATCTCTCTTATATCCCGTTATAGCACCGCCGGTATAATCGAATGCACTAAGCACAACCGCCGCCAGTGTACCAAATCCAAGAACCGCAGGAGTTGTTCCGACTATTGATGAATTAGCATCAATTTACCGCTAAAATTTGCATCAGAGCCCACATCTTAATCCCAGAACTGATCCAGCCAAAAATCCTCCAATTGCGGTGTTGTAAGTATCATTCTTCTCTCGCAAATTCGCAGATGCGTATTTTGTGAATTCATACGTTCCTCCCATCGCAGCTGAAAAAAGTCAACATGATGACGACCAGGGGATTCGATTTAATGGGCTTACTGAATACGAAGGCTGTGCCTCCTGTCCTGGTGAAGACACCCATCATGCCGATATTCTTCTTGTGCAAACTATTTTGAATCGCGGAAGCAAAAGCACCAGCCGTTCCTGTAATCAGTGCGCCGTTGATGCCTGCTTTAAGGGCATCTTGGGGGTGGTATGCTTCACTATTCGGTGCCATGTTGAGACAATACGGAACGTCAATGATGGAATATAAAACCCTAAGAAGTTGCACCGGCGTCGGTATGAGGTTGATAGATTCGGGGAATTTGGACGGAACATGCCGCTATAAACGCTGCTTGTGCTTACTAGCCGCCATCCAATTATTTCCGTCATCGCCATCATCTAAGCTCTCAAGCAACAAAAATGCAAAGGCGGCAGATAATCCATCAACCTTCACCCGTGCCTGTTTAGATAAGAAACACATACAAATAAATACATATTGAACCAACACAGTTGATGAGAAATTGTACAAATATTTCTGTTTTCCTTTAAAATCATAAAACTTGTCGATGCTCGTGTTCCTATTCTTTTGTTGCTTGTGTTCCTCCTAGCCAAATTTGGAGAATCAATCACTCACCCAATACACAATCAAACAACCAAACAACCAAACTCACATTTAGTACCTGGGTTGGCACAAAGTCCTTACTCATCTTCAATCGTTTTTCTAAAGAAGTCTGCTTCGAATGCAAGCCAACATATTGATCCTTCAAGCCTCAAGATCAATCACCTTTACAACCTTTCGAGAGGCGGGGTAGCTAAGCAAGTCCGAATATTTCAGCTGGCCATAAATCACAAAGTATCGGCAGGCAGAGTGAGCGATAGATAATTACTGAAAGGTGCTATGTTTGACTACGAGAAGAAACCAGGACCAGGCAAGTTCTGCGACTTGTGTTTTCTTTCGAACTTGAGATAATTCAAAGCTCTCGAATATACTAGAACTGAGCTAATGATTCTGCCAATGTAGGGAAATCCGCCCCTAGGTTAGTGGAAGATCTGCTTGACTACGATTTAAGAAAAAGCGCAAAGTCCGGCAAGCACACTCTCATAGAACCAGCGCCAATATACAACGAATCCAATATTGACCCAAGGCTCCATGCCACCAATTGTCGCCATCAGCTTTTTAGGAAGGATTCCCAAACGGACACTCTACGCCCACATGAGGAAGCAGATCCCACAACGATCCGCAAGATAGCTGCGTACTGTTCCCTTTGCCGATACCATTTTCGGATAACTGTAGATTTCCGAGGCTGGAAAGATGGACAGACTCATTGTAATCCTAAGGACCTCGAAAATCCACTCCATCACTTTCGGGTAGTTGAGACCAGATCGTCGCAAAACTTAAAAAAAATCTTTGAATTCGCGGCGCATGAATTTGCCTGCACTGCGGCTACTTGTCCAGTCAAAGTTACTATCAAAATAACACCACCTAGGCTCTCCGCTACCATGATAGCTCCCTTAATAAATGTCCAAGATACTCTGAGTCGTGGGCAGAGAATAATTGAAAAGGAACCCTTGAGATTCACAGGACACAGGCCCATATACCCATTTCAGGTCCTTAGTAACCTTTGTCAGTATTTAAGAGATGCAGGTGGTGCGGATAGAAAGGCTATTGCAGCCAGAAACAAAAGGTTCAGATTAGCATTCGGAGACGATTGTGACGCTCTACTAGGTTATCTAGGATTCAAATCCGAGCTGAGGGCATCGTCCAATTCCCAGGTATGTATCTTACCGACATAATAAAACTTATGGTTCAGGATTCAGCTTACGAAATCCCCTCTACAATTCATTCGCATCACTAACTTTCATTTCAGGAGGAATTTGAAGGGTTTTGGACTTTGCCTGTCGTCAATGATGGGAATCGCGAATTCATAGACGATGTCAGGTTTGAGCTCAACCAGCTCATGCTTGATCGACCAGATATGGAACTTAAGGAGCTTAAGTCTTCAAATGAAAAAGCCTTTTCTCCCGCCTATGCTCTGGATGATATTAGGCGATTACTTTCTTGCCATGACTATCCCAAGCGAGATACTGTTCAAGTTGTAGATTCGTTGGAGCACCCTTATTATGCCAGTTTAGGCGCAGTCGAGCTATTTACAGATGATTTGCTAGCCTGGAGCTATGATCGACAGTGTCAATGCGATCCGGCGAACAAGCCATACTATTTGGACTGCTTGCGGGAGCTCGGTAATGGACGGCGCAGTTCTGATTTACAAACGAAGGCTACGATGATCATGTCCACCGGAGAAGTCAGCCTAAAAGATATCGAAAAAGCTTACTCGTTCTTCGCGCTACAGAGGAATATTACCAGATCTGAGGGCGATGACTTTTTCATCGGTGTTTACAAGTCTCGTATCGAAGCTGGACCGCGCCAAAAAGATGAGGCACGCGAATGTCTGCGCGTAATAGCAAAGGATAGGCAGAGCATTGCCATCGAAGCCGTAGCGAATGATAGCACAATGACATTTGAAGAAGCTCTTGAGTTCCTAAGCGTGACTTCAGATACTGCATCTGATAGCATTGAAGCTGCTGCGGTTGCTATGGTATGTGTATAGTCTTGAATCAACGATCATTCAAAGACTGCCAGCTAACTCTAAGGTAGTCTTTTGAGGGCGATAAGGATAAAGTCGCAAAAGCTTTAAGAGCGATTGCCAACAATCGCGGAGACGACTACACCTTGCAGCGTGCGGCTACGTCCATGGAGTCTGGAATTGAAGATTCAAACCTTGACGTTGGTGAAGCTTATAATCGACTTCAAATCACTGATAGAAGGGCCCCAGATGATACTGTGCTGGCTTATTACGAAAGTCTCAGATCTGGTGCTCCTACTGGTTCATCTGATAGTTACAAGGAAGCATTTCGGGTGATAGCTCATGATCGTCAGAGCAGTTACTTATTGAGGAAACTTGATGATCCAAACGTCGACATTCAAGCAGAAAAGTCGACCATTAATCAACCAATTGGTCTAGATAATATTGGCAATACCTGCTATCTAAACAGTCTTCTGCAGTACTACTATACAGTAAAAGCCGTCCGAGAGGTAGCAATGAACTTTGACCAGATTCGCATGCCTCTGAATGAAGAGGATATCAAGAAGAAGCGCGTTGGAGGACGTGCTGTCAGTAAGGCGGAAATTATCAAGGCCCAAAAATGTGAGTGTCAGATTCTTTGGACAAATAGCTTGGCTAATTATAATTAGTTGTGACGGAATTACACGACCTGTTTGAAAACTTGAAGACTGCTTCAACAAGATCCATCAAGCCTACTAGAGAGTTGGCCGAATTGACCATATTCAGCTCAGCAGCTGAAGCAAATTTCCGTCGAGCCTCTGTCAGTAGCCCAAGTGGTCCATCAAACATGGCTTCTATGATGAGCCCCATTTTGGGGCCGGAAGGTCCTCCGACAACTACTTTTCGTCCTCCAACTTCAACCGACGAGGATATTGAGATGGTTGACCGACCTGAAGATAAAGACTCAAACCAGCGTGATGATAGTAGTGAAGGTACATTGGTAGAGGCTCCAGACATGGATGGTTTACCTCCGTATTCCGATGTTGTAGCTAGACCGAGTCCCGCAGCAGACAAGGCTTGGGACAAATCAGAGGATGCCGATAGTACCTTCGATGATGCTGTCATGGTCAATGGCGATTCGATAGTTCAAACTCCAGATGTCATACCAGCCGCGCCAGACAAGCCACCTCCGATTCCTCCAAGAAACAAAGCTGGCCTTTCGATAGAGACAAATGACCAGAAAGAAGTCATTACTGACGACGATCTATGGAAATTTGGATCTCAGCAAGATGTTACAGAAGTTATCGGAAACGTGATGTTTCGTTTACAGTGTGCTATAAAGCCGACAAGTATCGATCCTGTGTCTGGTGAGCAAATCGATAAAATTAGAGACACATTTTATGGTGCAAATGCCTCTTATCTTCGAAAGTCGGAAAAGTTAGAGAAGAAAGTTGAACCATGGGCTAATCTCATTATTTTTCCGGATGAAAACAAATCTCGAGACATTTATGAAGCATTGGATGTGGTCTTCGACGAACAACTGGTACATATCGATGGTACTATTCAACCGCAATATGCATCTATTACCAAACTCCCCCCAATATTACAAGTACAAATTCAGCGTACACGTTACGACAATATCAAGCATACTGCTTACAAAAATCGAAACGCGGTAATATTTCCAGAAACGATATATCTTGATAGATACATGGATTCCGAAGATCCTGACTCTACTTTGATGCGTCGTCGTCAAGAAGCATGGAAATGGAAGACACGTATCAATACTTTGGAAGAGCGACAAAGAGTCCTCGGCCAGGATAAAGTAACAGAAGAAATATCTGTTTGTGATGCACTATCTGCAGCACAGAACTTCACTAGAAGCTTGCAGGAGATGGATGACATCGAAGTTGACTCAAACTTGGTCACATTGCTCGAAGAACGCCAAGCTGAATTAAACCAAGAAATTGAAAGAAACGAGAAAGAAATTCAGCTTCTCAAGCAAAGAAGAAATGAACAATTCACGAATATGACCAAGTATGAATACAAGCTTCAAACTGTATTTATTCATCGTGGTGAAGCTGGTGGTGGCCATTATTGGATCTACATCTACGATTTCGAGAATGATATTTGGAGAGAATACAATGACGAATATGTGACGGAGGTGCGTGATCGTCGAAGAATCTTCGAACATGAGGCTGCTGGTGCAAGTGGCACTCCTTATTATCTCGGCTACGTACGAAGTTCGGATGTTATAGATTTGGTGGGGGCAGTGCACAGAGAACTGAAAGAAGTCGAAGTACCTACTTCTGCACCTGCAAAGTCGTGGGCAAACGGATTAGAGGATGGCATTGAGGTGCATCATGACGAGGACATGGAAATGGGGGAATTAAATAACGGAGGGTTCATGAATCCGAAACATATGCATAAGATTATGCCGAAACAAGATGTAGAGGACAAGACGGGTGCCGCTTCGCAGCTATCCTATGATAGTCATGGAAATGCTTGGTAAATCTTTCAGAGACGTGGAAAAGGGATCGAATGGGTAGATGGATAGTTGGATCGGGACTGGGAGATATTGTCAGATAGCCTGGGAAGGGGAGCATGCATGGAAAATAGGAGAGGCGAGTTTTGATATTGGAAAATCTACCTTTGGGTAGGTATGATATGGTATGATTGATGAATGGATTGGGATGGGATGGAATAGCATGATATCCAATGCTTGCGTATGTATGCAGCTTGCTCATTTATCCTTGATTTTTATGCATTGCATGCATATAGATGCATCACGATTCTATCTGCGTATGCTCTTTTTTATACATGTTTTGTTTTGTATGAGCACGGCGCAACGAGCATTGCTTGGTTTTATAGAAACAATAAAAACATGAATCCAAAGAAGATCAAATTGCAAGGTAGTTTTGAAACGATTCTGGGGGCGAAATTGAAGAACTAGTGTACGTGTAAGCGAAATGAACGAATGGATATCAGATGAGCAGGATGGAGTGAGTAGCTCTAGTCTGTAATCAAGGCTTAGAATGTCTCAAGTATTTCCTTTGATTTTTCTCTCTACACCATACTCCTATTAACCTTTTCCACTTTTCTTCTCCTCGTCGATCATCATTTTGGTTCTATTGTTTTGTTCGACGACTCGTTGAATTGACTTTCTCCTTTTTTTCCCCTCTCGTGAGTAAATGAGTATTTTTTGTTTTTGCCTTTTAAGGGCTCTCTTCAAGTTTTAAGAACTCTGCTCTCCTACTTAGGAGGAATGGATGTTAAAATGATCGAAAATGGGTGGGAAGATGTGTATACGTAGGTGCTCTTTGGAATGAAGGGATTACTTATCTCTGATCTCCCTTACCTCTGCCTCTCCCTTCTCTATTTTCTTCCCCATGGATATTATTCCAATTCTATTTCCATATCCATATCCATATCTACTTTCCATTTTCAAGTTTCACATCCGCGTTCATTCAAATTCAAAGATACTGTATAACTGGAGAAAATCTTACATTTTCTCCAGATATGCAGAATATGATACAACGTTATATGATACGATCTATACACAACATACAAGATACAAATTCGTATACAAGGATCTCCAAATCATTCTCTTTTCGTACCAGGGTCGTCTCGATTCTTGTTTTTGTTTCTGTCTTTTTCTTCTTCTTTGATATAATATGATATGTAAAAACGTTCTTTCCTGTTTGTGATTATTTTCTTAACATTAGTGCGAGTTGTTTCGTACATGTGATATACTGTCTTGTAGTATAGTACGTATATCTTTTACCTTTAATTCTCCTTCTATTCTTCTATTCTTATTTTCTGATTTCATCTCTCCTCTCACTTTTGTCTCTCACTCTCTCACTCTCTCACCTCTACCTCTCCCCTTCATCATCTATAATCCACCCTCTAACTTCACTCCCAAAGAAACTCTTCTCTCTTCTCCCATCCCCTTAATACATATATCACACCCCCAGCAATCAAATATCTTCTTTCCTATCTCCCTCTCTCTCCTCCTTTCTCTCCTATGTATAGGAATATAACCGTATTACCTACTCCCCACACCCACCCTCTCACACTCATAATCCTACCACTTCATCATCCCACCATGTCATCCCGTTCCATAAAATCCCAAGACTCAAATCTCAATCCCCAAACCCCAAATCTCAACCACCCAATCAACCAATCCTCCCAACTCTCCCACACAATTGAAAACACCCAACCAATTCCATCAACACACTCACATCCATATCCATATCCATATCTCTACCTACCTATCCACACAAAACAATCTAATCCAATCCCCCTTTTCCTAAAAACCTATTAGATACTCTATACAACTTCTCTACAAAACCTCTCCACACAACTCGCACCGAATATATTGACTACTCGAGTAGGTAGCTAGCTACTATTACTAATCCAGACAACGACCACTCCAGACAAAATCCACTTACTCCCGATATCTCTTCAACTTAAAGATCACTACTACCTAGGTATTATTAGGTACCTACTTAAGTATAGATACTCCTGATAACAAATATCTATGAAGATAATTAGGTACTCTGACTACGATTTATGTGTGTGTTCTTTGAGGATCTGGATAGATAGGTAGGTAGGTAGGTAGGTAGGTAGGTAGATGGGTAGGGAGTGAACCATTTGATTACATTTTTGATTTCTAGTATATGGATAGATAGATAGATATTCAATAATGTAAAGTAATTACTCAATTCATCCAACCACTCCAGACAACCACTCCAGACAGCCACTCCAAACAACCACCCCAAACGAGACTACAGATACACCATCAAGACCATCAAGACCATCCATGGATCCATGTAGTCCCTCCCTACCTACATATCTACTGTTACAAGATACAAAATATTTCACACAAGATATACCACCCAAACATCATCAAAATTCACAAAATCTTTGTTTCGAAATACCTGGGTATCAATATGAATTTGATTTAATACATTTGAGGATCATCTACTTAAAAATACAGCATGTAATAAATACACCCAATGAATAAAGTACATAGCATACACCTCAAACTCAAACCAAAATCAAACTCAAACCAATATCAAAATCAACATCAAAATCAATCCCAATATCAACATCGAGATCAACATCGAAATATAGACCTCAACCGAAAAGCCAGTTACCAGTCAAAAACATCAATCATCCTAACATAAAATTTAACAAAAGATTTAATAATACAATATTAATAATAAAAAAGTGTATACACGTGTACTAAAAATAATAATGATAATAAAAATAAGAATAAAAAAATATAAACTCGAAGAAACTCAGGAATCAATGTCATAGTCATAGCCATCGTCATATCCACATTCATGAAATCCGACCAACCGACCAATTCGATTACCCCACGCATCTCCTCCCCTCCCATCCTCCGTCCCAGTCTATACCGACCGATCAACAAGTAATAAGTAAATTATCCCCAACTCCATGTATCATGGGTATATGTGTGTATGATAATTTTGAACACCTCGCTCCTGAGGTGAACAACCCCTTTAGTCCGTGAATCCCATTTTTTCGCCATAATCGTGTACATTTCCCATGATAATAATGACAATAATAAAAACACCCAAGCCAAGCAACCAATCAAGCATTCCCGTCATGCCATGCCGTGCCGTATCGTGCTATGCCTCGCCTCCCAAATTCAAATATCGACAAAAACACCTTCCATTCATTAAAAAATTACATCATCGCACATCCACCCCCAATCCTCAGGTCGATATACAAATTCAACGTCCACCGCCGTTGAAATCGATCAAGTCAGCGAAAAACTTATCATCTGTGCTCGGTTGCGCAAACTGATTATAGTGGTGATTTTCCATGGCGTTTGTTTGCGCGGCTTGACTTGGAAGAAAATGAGATGCGTAAGACATATCGAGCGGTGATCTTTCCTGATTCCACTGCGTGGAAAATTGATTCGCCTGCTGCGGAGGCATTTGATTTGCTTGCTGAGGGAGCGATTGATTCTTCGCATACCAATCCAGGGGACTCTGGTGTACTTGATTCATGTGAGTTTGGGGCTCTGGGCTTCGAAGCACAGAATTTTGATGCATTGCATCCATCTGAGTTTGTGGTCCTCCGTTCTGAATCATCGAGTCGTGTTCGAAAGGTGTACCAGGTGTTATGTTTCCGGGAGTGCTAGAACTTCGGCCCATGAATTGAGGTCCGGGATTACGATTGTAGCCGGGCATGTCGTACAACGTTGTATCTTGTCCGAAGCTTGTGTGTCGCCTTCTGGGCTGTCGTTCCATTTGTGGAGCGGCCATATTTGAGTCATTACTTAACATTGGTGACGATGCCATCATTGGGCCCTCTAATGGCGATGTCATACTTTGGTCCTGTGGTGGCGTTGGCATGGTTGGGCCATAACTAGTTTTTCGACTTAATGTTCCTGGGGGTGTTGGGATATCTCGAGGCATTCTCCCGGGTTGGTTAGCATTTTGTGATGCTAATTGATGGTTGACTTGTACGAATAATGACAATTCCATTGCCATTTGTGGCTCAACCGGCTCGACCTGCTCCGTGGGACGCAGGCCTTGAGAACCTTCAATCAAAGCTAAAATGTTTTTTGCGATTGCCGGATTGTCGCGTAAATGTTGCATGAGCTCAGTTTGGGTAATGGGAACTGGGACTGGATTATACATAGGATTCCAATGACGTCTCTGAAAGACTCGCATTGGACTTTCTTCCTCCTCACCCAAATTTCCAGACATGACAATGTCCTCTGAAAGTTTGAGTCCTCGACCGGTTCTCTCTCGGTGGAGATTTGAAGCCTCTCTAGCGGACTTCATTCGACCCTTGACATCTGGACGATCATTTCTATTGGCGGCAGCAATAAATGCACGCTCTTTGTGAGACATCTTTTCTAGAGTGGTCTTGGGAGTCTTGGGAGCATGTTAGTTATGTTACAGTCTCGCCAAAGGAAACATGACGAGGATGAGTGTGCATACTTTGTTAGAATAGGACTTCTCGACCTTTCCGGGCTTCATCTTCTTATCCTTAGTCATCTTGGCTAATTGTTGTAGGGCGTCTATGTTGTTCTATGAAATACAGAAATCTTAAATCAAGAATATTTGGTGCTTCCTCGAGTCGAACTGGGTGGGAGTAATCGAGGTGGTGGATGATATATTGGTATTGAAGAAGTGATATGTATAGAGGAGGATGTGATTGACTCGGTTCGTCTTTCCTATTAGAAAATATTCGATTTTAAGGTTGATTTGACTGAGAATCCCAGATCGGTTATGAAGTCGATTATCAGGTCGATTTCGAGGACGATTGCGGATACCGGGATGAGGGGGTCGTAGATCGGTAAGCGAAGCTTTGGTGAAATCGTGGGATAAATAAGCTCGATAAAGATATTTGATGGAGTGTGATGTGATATCCCAGATGATAATCGATCAAAAGAAACGAATTGATGAATCTTCTTATTTCGAAATAAAAATAAAAAGAAGAGATGAGAGGTGGGTGAATTGTGTAATTTTTCCAAGCGAATATGGGTGTTGCGCCAATCTTTTGTAGTTCGTGAAAAAGAAGTACCGGTAGAGTAGGTGGGTGGATAGAATAAAGTAGAGTAGCGTTGAGAGAGGTTAGACGATCGATCTAGAGTTGAAGTGGGTGTAGTGGGGTGAAGACGTGAATGAAGTGGATTAAAGCCGTGTAGATAGCCAGAATTATCATATACAGTAAGAGTAACGAATGCTACTCTATTTTTAAATTATTAAATAAAAAGATGAAAAGTAAAAAAAAAAAAAAAAGTAAAAAGTAAAAAGGGTTAAATCGTGTGGAATTGTGTAAAGGGATATACAAAGGTCGTAGACTCGTAGGTAAAGCAGGGAGGTATGGGTATGGGTATGGGTATGTATGTGTATGGGTATGTATTTGGATATGGATATGGATATGGATATGGATATGGATATGGATATGGATATGGATGTGGATGTGAATAAGAATATGGGGAAAGGTTTGGAATAAGTAAGTTGAGAAAAGATCATAAATGATTCTAAGCTTTAAAGTATAGCTGAGGGGGTAAAGGGTGATTAAATATTAGGGGATGTAGGATGGTAAGGTTGAGAGATAGTAGAAGGATGTAGAAGTAGGGTAGATGTAGGGTAAGAGGAGGTGAGAGGAGAGGAGAGGAGGGGAGGGAAGAGGAGGTGAGGGTAGTGTAGAATGAGTAAGAATAGAGAGAGAGGAGGGAAAAGTAGGTCAGAGTCGAAAGAGTAGGTCAGAGTAGGTCAGAGTAGGTCAGAGTAGGTCAGAGTCGAAAGAGTCAAAGTCAAAGTCGATTAAAAAAGTAGGTAAGAGTAGAGAAAAACAAGAAAACAAATCAAGGGCAGAGCAGAGCAAAGAGTCTTCCCGGAATTCATTAAGATGGGACTTTAAACTTTTCGATAATCCCGTCTACCGTATTCTTTCAGAACTCGATGCAGTCGATCTAAACCCAAAGAGACCTTAACCTTCTGCATCATAGGCCATTGATCAATGGTATCGGGTTTCTTTGCGTCTTAGCCAGATGTACTGGTGAATCATCACTGTACGATTTAATCCTTTGATGGTGAAGATCATCTGGAGCTAGGAGGACCAGCAGGACCAGCAGGACCAGCAGGACTAACAGGACCAGCAGGACTAGTAGGACTAGGTCAGCATCGGGGTATCTAGCATCTTGAGGAAAGAGACACCAAGGCTATCAGGTTTCATTTGCTCTGTGCTCTGTGCTCTTTGCTCTATTGCTATTGGCGTGATGGGATTTTAGTCTGTATTGACCAGAGTTTTCATTGATCAAAATACTTGTCCTTATTTAGATATTGAATATTTAGATATTTAGATATTTAGATCTTTATTAGACATCGACCTCCGTGTCTCTTTCCTACCTAGTGCCGTGTGTTGGTGTTGTGCCTGCCTGCCCACCCACCCAAGTAAGCTGCGTAGAACAAATGGAAGAAAAAAGTGTGGGAGGAAGATTTCGATGATCGGGAACAATTGCCAACTAGGTATGTAAGATTACTTACTGACGGACTGATCTCAATCGGATTACCTGCGGAGGCTTTACGATGACGGTATTATGGTATTATGGTATTACGGTACCCCTCATTAATTACCGGATAACATCATACTTATGTAATCACAGAATCACAGAATCACATCAACTCGAATACGAATAAGAGAAATGTGAGAAGAAAAGGCAACTCCAAGAGCGAATCTCCCAACGCTTCCAAATACTGTACCTGGGTATTATTCATCATCTATGCGAAAAGCATGTACACAATCAACATACGGACTAGGTAGTATCATCCAGGTCCACGAGTGGAGAGGATAGAGCATATCGTAGAGCAGTAGAGCAAGGTGAGTAATACACGCAGATCTCTGTTCCTCTCACTCATACCTGAGAGATCGAATAGAGGGGTTCATCCTCTCCTCTCATTGGTCCATCGCCGCATTCCCTCCTTCTATCCAGATTGCCGAGTTCCCCATACGGCTGGCCCTCCTCGCGCCCTCGAAATATCACGGGAGGAAATTCTCCATCCCGACCCCATTCCTCGCGTCTCATTGGCCCAACCCCAAAAGCCAAAAACATCAGATCGGTTCCAGGTTCCAGACCTCGACTCTCACATCGGTACTCGGTCTCGTCGCCATCACAATATGACGACAGGGCAACTACCTATCTGTCCCACCTCCTGCTACTTCTGCTCAGAGCTCTCTCGGGGAGGCGGATAACCGTTTTTTGCCAAACATGCCAATAAGGTTAACCATCCCATCCAAATGCAATGAATGTCACTTTGTGACTGTGATTGTGAATCCTTCGCCCCCATGTAACTTTTTATCCTCCGTGCAAACCAGGGCTGAGCTTGCTCCATTTACTTTACCTTCCATTACTTTACTTTATTACCCGTGAACTGTACCACTCTTCCAAGTTTCCACACTTCCACACCCAACCAAATGTTTAATCACATGATTCGTATTCGTGTTGAATCTTTCTCCACGTGTCTTTCATTTGGAGTTCTTTTTCCTCTTTTCACACCCCTCTCCCATGTTATTGTCTCAACAAGAGGCACCCCAATCTTCCTGCCCTCTCCCGCATCGTGGCTGTACCGAACTCAACCTTGGAACTACTTCATTCCGCCTAGATCCTCCCTCGATCCGTCTTGGTGCTCTGATCTTGATGATTAATGATCAATCAAACACACACATCCGGACATCTTCAAACCCCGCGACGGGGTTCTCAAAACAAAGTAGGTGCTAGGTAGGTATCAACTTTATTATTGTTCCGAAGAACGTACGATGGAAGCGTTGAGATATCACATATGCCAGCATCGAAAAACTCTTTTTTCTCTCTCTCTCTCTCTCTCAACTCACGATCTTCATGCCCCTGGGTTGCACATAACTTGATCTGAGAAGTGCAGTGCAAACTAGTTGTGTTCCCCACGTTCGATGTCGCAAACACTTGCACATGATTATTCGATCGGGCTTACTCATCCTTCCATTACATACACACACACACACGCACACGCACACGCACACGCACATACATACCATAGCATCTTGATTACTTATTAGTAGTTTGTACGGAATAAACCATGAAATTAAGCTTAATCAATCGCATCGTTCTCATTAATCTACTGTCTTAGCTCGGGTCGTCTCTGTAAAAGACGTCAACGTTGACGTAGCAACTCAAGCCTCATTGTCAATAGTACTAGGTAGCTCTGTTAGATCGCACCTCTTTCCCCTTTTTACTACCCATACCGTCTGTGAACCTTACCGGATTACTGGGTCAATCATTGAAACCATTAACTACCTAGTTAGGTTATTGATGCACTTTCTCTTCCAAATACTAACATTATCCACCTTAGCATTCATCGTGTGTCTCTTCGTCTTGTCTCTCCCTCTCCCTTCTCTCTCTCTCTCTCTCTCTCTCTCTTCAAAATGAACGTGAAGATGATCGTATCCAATTGAGTCCCCTCTGCAACGAATAACTACTATCTGCGTATTTGATCAAAATAAATCCGAGTTTTGGTATCCAGATCAATAATATATCACTCCAAAGCTAAGTTAAAAAACTTCAGAACACATCCTGACGCCTACTACCTATCCATGCATGATCACCTCAATTTCTCCCAATAACTTCCATACGCCTTTGAAATAGCTCTACCTATGATTCGGAAGAGGCATGATCCGTATCAAAGCTTCTAACACCATTAGAAACATCTCGCTTTCCCGCCTCCTTGCCCGCTCCCACGCCAAACCAATTGTTTACTACCTAGGTACTCAAATGTCCTGCACCGTTACAGATAGTTGATTTCATCATCCTGTCATGATTCGAAAGCCGTCTTCGGTGCGTCAGTTAACGGGATGTATCTCACCCCATATAACTTCTCCTTCGATACTTTCCCCTCTGCATCTTTATCCACGACCCAGATATGTTGACCGCCGAATCCTCTCCGAGAATCTTCAACTGGTATGAACATTCTACAGTGCGATTAGCTTCATTATACAAAGATCTATAAAGGAAAATCAAAATCGGTATGTCAAACTTACCGACCAGGACTTCTCAATTGCTTAATCAATGCCTCATGGATTTCTGTCGCCGCGGCTCCAACATGTATGGCGTCCCACCCCTCCTCCCCATTCGGATCTTTCCATCCCTCTCTCCCATCCCCAACCACAAATTCTACATTCTTCTCGAGTAACCACTTTTTTCCTCTGCCACTTTTCATCATATTGGTCTCGCCCATATCCCGCAATGCTCTTATATGTTCCAATCCCACCACTTTCCACCTTCCCCCTTCAGCTTCAGCTTCGGCTCCTGTTGGATTTCGACGTGAGGAATGTGAATGTGATGAGAGAAGTACAAGTTCGGCCATAACGGCTGTGAGGTATCCACTTCCACTCCCTACGTCCAGAACTCTCTTTCCTTCTCCTAGATATGGGAGTAGATATTCGAGAGCAGAAGCGTGCATATGGGGAGCTGATATGGTGGCTTGATGGCCAATAGATTGTGGAGAGTCTTCGTATGCCAGGTACTCAGAGGGTGTATAGTGAGCGCGATCTACCTTGAGAGATTGGATTAGCTTTCATCTCCTAGGCCCTTTAATAAAGTCAAACGGAGTTCAGATCTACTGAATACAATGTAAGTCGGGGGATTAAAACAAACGTACAGAAATCATCGCCTCTCTAATCTTTTCACTATGGATCAAGCCCGCACTCCACATGTTATTTATCAACTCGGCATTTGTACGACCCGAACATGTCCACGCCATCTTGTTATTGGTTGTTATTCTTCGTCTCACTTGCGTACCATGTATGTGCAAAAAGCGCTGAAGATATGGGCGGAGGTGTAAAGGTGACAGTGTGAAGTTTGCTGGAAGTTCTAGAGAAAGCGCTGTGTTTGGCGGGGTTTCCTTCACGAATATAACGAGCAGGAAGAGGATTACGAGTTGTTGGAAGTTGAGCCAGGATATCTGCATGCGCTGGTACTATTTCTTCTTTTGAAATTTACTAGTTGCTAGGAAGTTTCGATCCTATATCTGAAGAAGACAACCAGCTCGTTTCAAAATGAGATGATGAGGAGGGGTAGCTCGTTTGTTTCTTATTCTTTTTCCGAGCGGCTTCGCTTTGTTTACTAATGAGTAAACACCAATGATACTAATATTCAGATGCTTGTCAATTCACAGATCCCGAGCGAAGCGTCTTGGAGAGCAGTATATGGGGTTTGAGTTGATGCTCTTCCAATATCGAGTTGAAAGGAACAATCAAGTGAAGTGAAGCTTGAGCTTTGATAAAAAGTGAAGTGCGGGGTTGGAGATGGTAGGGTGACGTAGCATCGTTAGGGTGGCGAATAGGGAAAGGTTGATAATAGGATGGAAATGGAATGAAAGAACTTTGGAAGTTCCCAAATTATATGAGAATGAGAGTATAGAGATGAGCTAAGAGCCTGGAATTAAAATAAGGCTTACTTTCTCCAAGAGAAGTCAATTGTGTGTATTGGGACGATAGATCAAGAATAGACTTTCCCTATATGTCAGACGAAAGCGCGGCGATGATAGAAATGATTTATATGACAACATTACAAAGCTGATCGAACGGAATGAACGGAAGCTATCGTTTTCCAATACCATCTTTACACTTCCTTCCCAGTCGAAACCTGATTCTCAATAAGAATCAAAGTAAAGTCTAGTCAAGGGAAGATCTCGGGCATGAATAATCACCACAGGAGAGAAGTTCTTTGTCTTCATCAGGATAATTTGATTATAAGCTTAAAACTGTACTGAACCTTCTATCCCCTCTTTGTTTATATCTCCCTTCTACATCTATACCTCTATTTATCGCTACACACCATCCTCAACCAGCATGCCTCAAACCCCATCCAGCCTCTCCCAATTCCTGGTTTTCTGGGACCTCCCCATAGAAATCCGCCTCAAAATCTGGACTCATCTCATCCCACCCCCTCGAATCATCCAACTAGCCACCCACCCAAACCGAGACAACGCCCCCCTCATCTCCCTCACCAAACCACCCATCCTCTTCTCCATCAGCCACGAAACGCGCACTCTCGCCCTCTCAACCTACAATTTCCTTCCCGTTCCACACATGCGCATCCCTGTATCCCGAAACGAAGATACAGTCTACATAACCTTGTCGCAGGTGCGCTCTCATCGTGAATCTCAGGACGACAACCACATTGCTACTGTCTTATCTCTAGTTTCCTATTTCCCCATCACCTCTTTAGGATTCGCGGCGGTATGCTGGGGTCGGATGTGCGAATTGCTCAATCTTATTTCGATTCTAGCAGGGATGCCTCATTTGCGAGAGGTATTGAAGGTTATTGAGTATGGAAGGGATTTTACGGGCGAGTTGGGGCTTCTGGATATACCAGAATGGAGACAGGACTGGAGGAGAATGGCGAACCAGGTAGAGGCGCACATCAGAGATCAGAGGGAGAAGTTGAGTATTGTGGGAAACGGGATGGGAGACGTGAAGATGAGGTATGTGTATTTGACAAAAGGGAATGAAATGACTTGAAAGTGGACTTTTGAAATCTCTTGATCTTCAAATCATTCAGTGTTAGATTTACTTCTTGAGAAGTATACATCAGATCGATCCACGAAAAATTCAACAGTACCGAGACACGACGTTCACTTGAAATTTCTACCGTGCTTGGAAAGACAAGAGATGAAATGAAATGAAATGGGTCTTGTAAATTAGTTTGCACTCATATCAGGCGCGAAATACAATTCATGCACAGTGCGTTTAGGAGGGTAAATTTGAACGGGATACTAAGGCATGCTTTTAATTTCCCGTTATTTTTCTCCTTCAATTAGATGCTAGCGAGTCCTAGCAGCATACTCGTGAACAATGCAATGCTCCACTATTTCCTACAATGCATTTTCCAAGACCGTATGTTATATACTCTTCCTCTGAAACCACACGGTAATAAACCCACAACGCCATCCCAATGCATAACCGCCCAAATCTATTTCAGTAGATTAAAAGTTGAACAAGCACCATTCCCTCTTGGGTGGCATCAAAGGCATAACACCACCTGGAAAAGCTCCTGTTCGCCTAGCCTGTAGATATGCAGCTGTTGTCTGCTCGTCAAAAGCCACGTTCTCAATCTCGGTAGTTTTGTTTGGCCCTGCATACCCCTTTGCACACCATATCTTGTGCCACTTGCCATTTACGGATGTCCCTGGCTCTCCGTCCTTATACACGACTGGGAGTCCATTGAAAGACTCTAACCTGTCACCCCGAGTCCTTATGTAACTTTCAGCTGGAGGATGCGGTACTATATTATCATTTGGTGGTGGTCGAAAATTTGGACTGAAAGTGTTCATATTGGAGCCAGGTCTCGCCGGCGGAGCGCCGGCGATCATATTTAGATTACTAGCACCTTGCTGATTACTAAACTGCTGTGTTTGTGTAGCAGGGGATGTAAATTGGTTCTGCATCGCATTCATAGGTTGAGAACTTGGAGCTCCAAAGGGGTTATTCGGCGCTGGAGAAGAAGCACCCAATGCTTGGGTACTTCCGGAATTTGAGCCAAATGGATTTGGTGCTGTAGGCTGACTAAAAGAGTTAACGGGCGCTAATGGGTTGTTGTTTTGCGTTATCGGATTGGCCTGCGATTGCTGAATCCCAGGAGGAAGTGGATTGGAACCAAAAGCACCTCCAATGGGGTTTACCAGGGGATTTGGATTTGGTTGGGCAAAAGCATTACTTGTACCGCCAAAATTAGAGAAGCTTGCCTGTCCAGAATTCATGGCACCATTCGAGGGTGCACCGAACGGACTTGGTTTCTGTCCCAGAACTGAAGGGTTTCCAAAAGCCCCAGCCCCAGCCCCAGCCCTTTGCTCTGATTGTGAAGGCTGTCCAAAAGCACTACTAAAGGCACTTGGCTTTTGGCCCAAAGCGGACGGTTGGCCAAAACCACCAGATGCCCCGATTTGCGATGCAACTCCAAAGCCTTGAGAGGGCCCACCAAACGCACCCGGGTTCTGACTTGAAGGCTGACCAAAGGCTGTACCATTTTGATTAGTTGGTTGTCCAAATGCAGAGCCATTTTGATTAGTTGGCTGCCCAAATGCAGAGCCGTTCTGAGTAGACGGTTGCCCAAATGCTGATATAGTCGTTTGACTAGCTGCACCAAAAGCACTGTTTACAGGAGGATGGTCGCTCCTCTGAACCCATGGTGTCTGGTCTGTGGAGGTGCCCTGTTGACAAATATCATTCCGATTTGGATGCTTACTGTCGGAGGCGACAATGTAATTTATGGCGCCATCTATATCATTCAGCGCAGTCTGAATTTGCTGATCTGCTTCTTGCCATAGCCTCTCTGCATCTTGTATCTAGAAAATATCAGCCTCCGATAGTTCATAGCCCCAGGATGATTTCACGTACAGCTGGTTGAGCATTGCCAGAAGCTGCCGCAATGTAATGGAGAAGGCGCATTTCCTCAAAACTTTGTTCCCGTGCTGGTCCACCGAACAATTGCTCTGGCGCATGGCGCCCAGGTCCGTATGCCGAAAGAATCCATTGAGGTCTGTCGGTCATGAGGTCTTGCTTTATAGTCGCTTTATCGAGACTGAAAGGTATATGCGCCTCATTTCCTTTACAACGCCGTAAGCCACCGTATATACTTATGTATGCTCAAAATACTCACCTCCTCGTTGTGTATTGAAATTTTTGGAGTTGGATTGGTTGGAAGGTTGATTTTGAAGAGGCGCATATCGATTGTTGAAGCCATTCCTATTGGAATTGGCATTTTGATCGGAGTGCTCGAATCTGCAATCAGCTTTCAATAGTGAGCACACTTTCGTTCTTCAATTCGAGAAACAGCCATACCTCCGTTTCTGCAATTCCCCTGCTGCCAAAATCTACACACGGCCATGGTTTAATCTGCCTGGGGAATCAAGATAGTGGTTAAGGAATTCTTGGATGGATGGCCAGAGCCTAAACGGCTATACTTATAAGGTATTCATTCGAGATTCGCAGGGGTTGAGAAAATTCATATTCATAAAAGTGTGTAGACGGCTTTGTTTGATTGATGTGAATGAATTTTTGAAGATGTTGGTCATAACGCGGTCTGGTAGTCAAACGCGTCGGTACGGTTAATTTGAAAATTGATTGTCACAAGTGGAATGAGTAAAAATCTCCAGCTACGTCAAAACAAAATAATTACATATTCAGCAAATCAGAGCCTATCGCAAATCCCCAATTAACTCCATAACGCTATGTTGGTATCTTTGAAATGTAGATGTACATGCTTCGCCCTTCTCGTTCATACGTCAATTCTTGGCCCCAGTCCTTCCTTCACAGCTGCAGACAGGCGTTCCCAATCTAATCCACCAATTGATCTGCTACCAATGCCTTTGAGTGATAAAGTCTCCGAAAATTTCCCAGTGCCAATTCGTCGCATCATTATCGTATCCCGAGCCTTTCTTATTGCTCTTCCCTCTCCACGAAGTAAGTAGTCTTCGAACCAAGCTTCTTCTTCTGGTGACAATGGTAGATTTACCAATTCGACACTGCGATCTGCGATGGTTTCTGGAGGAGAGTTTTTTAAGACGGCCGCGATCAGTTGTTCGAACATGTGTCGTTGCATGTATTGCGACTGTCCTCGCGAGAAATAGAAGGCTTCTGTGACACTTGTTCTTGCGATGGCAGAAAACAAACTTTCTGTCGCTCGAGACGATGTCAAGGCTGGCTGTACAGTATGATAGTATGCTAATGGAATTGCGAGATCGTCTGAGGAATATAACACGAGGGCTTCCAGGATTTCATCCGCAAAGCTTGGTATCAAAGATGGATGGGTCAGATATTGAAGAGCCAACTAGCAATGATCAGTTCATGTTTTAAGTGTCTACGGATCTCAGAGACAGAGAGTCACGAACCTCAAAATCAAGGTTATCCAAATGCCAAAGACCCTTCATATAGATTTGGTAGCTATGAGGTAAAAACGACTTTTGCTCAAATGTAGTGGAGTAGTCTCTTCGTCCGGTTGGGGCGTCAAAGTCGAGCAGTATATAATAAAGAGCTGATAGTTTATGATGATCTTGGCCCGCCGAGTCAATGATGACTTTGTGTAGATTTCGAAGGTCACTATTTGATTTCGGTGGATAATATTTAACAGCTTGCGCACAAGTTAGTAAGAGATATGTTACCGCAACGATTTGTAGGAGCTCACGTCGACGAATTTCAAAATTCTTCAGTAAAGTATCCATGAATAAACCTTCAAGCTTCTTACGATTGCTCTCGATTTTTCGCACAGCGAATTCATCATATGAGCAGCCTGGATCAAAGTCAAAGACTTCGTCAAAATTTTGGAAGGTAAACATTTTGTATCGCCGTATTATTTCTGCAACCGTTGTTTATGTTTATGTTTAAGGAGTTATTTTGCAATTGTTTGCGACGATAGAGTGTTGATAGTAGATAAGAACCTTATCTTAGCGTTATTGGACTGTTTTGAAGTAAACAATGACCCTCCGCAATATGCAAACAAGAAAAACAACAAACTTCAACAACACAAAACATTTAACACACTATTTATTGATTGAATATAGGACGTGTTGCTAACAGGTACCTTGATCTCTGTGACCTTTTGGTACTCATTATGCATTGCTGATTTAATATAGCTCCTTAATCCACAGCAATAATCAATTTTTCCCCGCCAGTGAAAAAAACGACACATTTGCTGGACCTCGTCATGTCAGAATCCCCAGTGCGGTCCTCAAGAAGGGTCGCTTCTCGCCGGAAAGTGGTAGTGGAATCATCAGATGAGGATGAAGGTATGGAAGTAAAGGTTGAGGAGGAAGATGACGAGGAAGAGTTCACCCCGGCACCGAAGCGTAGTACCCGGACAGCCCCCCAGTCAAGGAGGAAAACGGCGAATTCAATGGCAGCTACACCTCGCACAGGCGGCCGAGCGAAGAAGAGTTTAGGAGCAGAGAATGCTGAACCTTCGGAAATCTTCGATCCTGACCAGACAGCAACCCCAGCGCCAGAGTCACCTACAAAAAAGGCCGCCCCACGGAAAAGAAAGAGTGTACTGCCTACCAGAAGTGCACGCAGCTCAGTGGCACCTGAGTCAAATCCTACTCTACCAAAACCAAATACCTCGCAGTCTCCTGAGCCATCCGAAATGCACAATAGCACAATTCTTGCAGATATCACAGAGAGGCCTGGGACATCGGACAGTCAAGCGTCGGCTGTCAAACCTATTCGAGCAATGGATACAATCATGGAAAAGCCCATGGATATTATGCTGAAATCAAGAACTGCGGCAGCAGCTCCAGTGGTTGAGGATACTGGTCCAAAATCTCGAATAGTTATCACTTACCTGATTCTTACAAACTTCAAGAGTTATGCTGGTCGCCAGGAGGTTGGCCCATTTCACTCTTCGTTTTCCTCTGTCGTTGGCCCTAACGGCTCCGGAAAATCTAACGTCATCGATTCTCTTCTTTTTGTGTTCGGCTTCAGAGCTAGCAAAATGAGACAGGGCAAGATTTCCGCATTGATTCACAATTCAGCAGCTTTCCCGGACTTGGATCATTGTGAGGTTGCTGTACATTTCCAAGAAGTGATGGATCAGCCAGATGGCACCCATCAAATTGTTCCCAATTCTGATTTGGTCATATCTCGAAGGGCGTTCAAAAATAACGCAAGTAAATATTATATCAACGGAAAAGAGTCAAATTTCACCATTGTCACGACACTCCTTCGTGATAGAGGCGTAGATTTAGATCATAAGAGATTTTTGATCCTTCAAGGTGAAGTCGAGTCAATTGCACAAATGAAGCCAAAAGCTGCAAATGAGCATGATGACGGTCTTCTGGAGTATCTGGAGGATATCATTGGCACATCCAAATACAAGACCCCCATTGAAGAATCTGCTACCGAAGTAGAGACTCTAAACGAAGTGTGTGTTGAGAAGAGCGGGCGGGTTCAGCATGTTGAAAAAGAAAAAAATGCACTTGAGGATAAGAAAGACAAGGCTCTTGCTTATATCAGGGACGAAAATGAGTTGTCCATGAAGCAATCAGCGTTGTACCAAGTTTATATCAATGAGTGCGGTGATAATCTAGCCGTTACGGAAGAGGCTATTGGCCAAATGCAAACACAGCTAGACGCGGAAATGGAAAAGCATCAGGGCAACGAAGCAGGTATCAAGCAGCTTGAAAAGGAGTACAAAAAAGGCCAAAAGGAGTATGAGTCGGTTGAAAAGTACACGCAAGCAATTCTCAAGGAAATGGCAAACCTCGATCAAGAGCGAGTAAAGCTTGAAGAGAAGAAGAAATTCTTGACAACAAAACAGAAGAAACTGGAAAAGACAATTAACACATCCGACTCTGCCATTTCTGAAGCTCAGGCCACAATTGAGAAGTGCACAGAAGAAATACAAGAAGCTGCTGCCGAGATAGCTGCAACCGAACAGAGAATGGCAGAAGAGGAGTCGGAGCTCGCTAATATTAGGGATAGTCTCAAAGGAAAAACCCAAGCATTCTCTGATCAAATCGCGGCCAAACAGAAGTCATTGGAACCCTGGAATGAAAAGATCAATCAAAAACAGTCTGCTATTGCTGTAGCGGAGAGTGAGCTCGCAATCTTAGATGAGAAGGCGAATTCCGGTGACGTAGCACTTCGGGAAATCCAATCAAAGGTCCAGGCCATAGAGGAAAGCAGGGAGGCTAAACTAGAAGAACTCGAGCAATGCAGAGGGCAAAGGGCGAAGTTGGAAAAGGACGGTGCTCGGTTACAAGCCGAACTCACGCAGTTGTCTCAGAAGGAGCCGGAATTCCGCGCCAAACTATCTGGGGCTCGCCAAAAAGCCGACGAAGCTCGTGCTAGTCTTTCAAACACTCAAACTCAAGGAAATGTCCTGACTGGTCTGATGAGACTTAAAGAATCTGGGCGAATTGATGGTTTCCATGGCCGACTGGGAAATTTAGGCACAATTAACCAACAATTCGACATTGCAATTTCTACTGCCTGTGGAGCCCTTGATAATTTTGTAACGGATACAGTCGAGGCTGGTCAGCAGTGTATCGAATATCTTCGAAAGACTAACCTCGGACGAGGTAACTTTATGTGTTTGGATAAATTAGGAAATCGTGATCTCTCACCCATCCAAACACCAGAAAACGTTCCTCGTCTCTTTGATCTCATCAAGCCAAAAGATGACAAGTTTAGACCGGCATTCTTCCACTCATTACAGAATACACTTGTAGCTAAAGATTTAGCACAAGCTAATCGCATCGCTTACGGAGCTAAAAGATGGCGTGTCGTGACCTTGGATGGCCAGCTGATTGACAAATCGGGTACTATGTCTGGTGGTGGAAACACGGTCAAGAAGGGGTTGATGTCTTCAAAGCTGGTTGCCGAAGTCTCAAAAGAGCAAGTTTCAAAGTTGGAAGTAAACAGAGATGAGCTTGAGAAAACTTTCCAGAAGTTTCAAGATCGCCAAAGAGACTTAGAGACGAGACTTAAAGATATAAATCATCAAATACCGCAACTCGATACGAAAATGCAAAAGCTCGGTCTAGAGGTAGACAGTTCTGAGCGAAACCTAGTAGACGCACAGAGACGAATCAAAGAGTTGAGCAAGGAGCATCAGCCATCTCAGACAGATGATAGTCGAGTATCTGCATTGAAGAAGGACATCGCAAAGCTTCAAAAAGAAATTGAGAAACTTCATGCGGAGACAGCAAGCGTTGAAGGTGAAATCAAAGCTCTCCAGGACAGAATTATGCAAGTTGGTGGTGAGAAGCTTCGTGCTCAGCGTGCTATGGTGGATTCTTTAAAAGAAGAGATTGATACCCTCAGCCAGGCCATGTCAACAGCAGAAGTGACCAAAACCAAGGCTGAAAAACAAATCCTTAAACACGAGAAAGATCATGCTAAGGCTACTAAGGAGATACAGGCTTCTATTGCGGATCTAGAAGCACTAGAGCAGGAGATTCAGAATCAAGGATCAAGCTCTGAAGGATCACAAGCTCGAGTTGATGAAGCCCAAGAGACTCTGAGAGAGAAGAAAAAAGAGCTTAGTGCTCTCAAAGCTGACCTTGATGAGAAAACTACCGAACTCAATGAGACCCGCGCAGTTGAGATTGAAATGCGCAACAAGCTTGAAGAAAACCATAAAGTATTGACTGAGAATCAAAAGCGACTAAGATATTGGCAAGAAAAGTTGGGTAAGCTTACTCTGCAGAGTGTTAGTGACTTGGGCGAAGAAGTTGAGCAAGAGGAACTTCCTACTTTTACCAGAGACGAACTCGCCGATATGAGCAAGGAGGCATTGAAGGGAGAGATCGCAATTTTGGAAGAGAAAACTCAAAATGTCAATGTCGAGCTTGGTGTTCTTGCAGAATATCGTCGAAGAGTTGAAGAACATGCTGCGAGGAACCAAGACTTACAAAGTGCTGTAACTCAAAGAGACACAGCCAAGAAACGCTGCGATGATTTGCGACGCCTTCGTCTCGAAGGCTTCATGGAAGGTTTTAGTACAATCTCCCTTAGACTTAAAGAGATGTACCAAATGATCACCATGGGAGGGAATGCCGAGCTGGAACTAGTGGATTCGCTGGATCCATTCTCGGAGGGGATTTTATTCAGTGTGATGCCACCAAAGAAATCTTGGAAAAACATCTCCAATTTGAGTGGTGGTGAAAAGACATTGAGTAGTTTGGCACTGGTGTTTGCTTTGCATCACTATAAACCCACACCTTTATATGTAATGGACGAGATTGACGCTGCTCTTGATTTTAGAAATGTAAGTACATTCATACTACCTTATCGAGTATACATTGCTAACATATCTAGGTTTCCATCGTAGCGTCTTACATCAAGGAACGAACAAAAAACGCACAATTCATCGTTATCTCGCTGCGAAACAACATGTTTGAACTCGCGAGTAGGTTGGTCGGAGTATACAAGGTCAATCATATGACGAAGAGCGTGACGATAGAAAATAAGGATTACATCACGGGTCGAGCATGATGAGATGCAATATCGTCGTTTGTTATTGTTTTAGTGCGGGCGTTGGATAACCATATGGGATGTATCGGATGCATTATGACTATTAATGAGATCATGAAAATTATCTTCTTCTAAATGAAAAGCATATAATGCAATGTGCTGGCTATTATCTGCCTATCTATCTACCTATGCTGTGGCTACCAAATCCCGAAATGTTTTGCGCCAATAATTTCGGATGAGATGGGCTGTCCCTGTGTAGGGGCAAGCCCAAAGGTCTGACCACACCGAGTTAATGTCAAGCTCAGTACCCCGTGCCTTTTCCCCGTACAAGTATACTTTTTGCTAAGATCAATCTCCGCATGATCAATATATCATGTTGACAATAGTCATATATTAAGCTGGATATCAAAAAAGGGGTCCGGGGAGATAAGCCTTTAAGTTCAGGGTCCTTGAGATATTATAAATAGTGCTATGTGATGTCGGTTGGAAGTGTCTCATTATTCTCCAAGTTTCATTCATTCACATTCAGAAGTACTGATCTTATCTCTACTTCGTCTTCGTGTCAATATGGGAGATACATCAAAGAAGCCAGAGTTCGTTTTCGTGCCTGGAGCATGGCATAGCCCAGAATCTGTAAGATCTTCTATTTTCAGACCGATTCAATGATCTGGATGTTGGTATGCAAAATTGCAACTGTTTCAGCTGCTCTGTTGATAATTTGAAGGAGCTCTTCCGTCCAACGCAAACTTACTTCGCGTCTCCTTCTGACATTTTCTGCTTCAAAAGTTTAAACCCACCACAGATATCCTTGAAGCGAAGGGTTACAAAGTCCACGGCATTTCCCTAAAATCTGTGGGTGCATCTCCTCATCTCGAAGATTCCCAGCCAGATGTAGAAATAATCAGGTAATTCCTCTTCGTATACTCCCATCTCTTGTTACTTTCTCTCAATTTCCAACATACCATAATTACACACCTCAGGAACAAAATCGACTCTCTCCTCTCCACGTATACTCCCCTGATTCTCGTCTACCACTCCTATGGCGGAGTAGTCAGCTCGTCGGCTTTAGACACCTATATCGCCACCCTCTCTCCTTCAACCACCCCCTTCTCTCCTACTGACCTGATCCGCCGTTTGGTTTACATCGCTGCCTTCTGTCTCCCCAAATCCGCATCTTTGATGAGTGCCCTGAATCATAATCCTCTTCCCTGGTGGACTATCTCCCCAGATTCCAGAGCTATCACTTGTTCAGATGCTTATGGAATCTTCTATTGCGATGTTTCCAGAAATGAAGCACAAAAATATGTGGAGATGCTGAAGGAACATAGTTACAAGACTCTTGATTTGCCAGTGACTACAAAGCTGTGGAGACACATTCCGAGTACGTTTGTTGTTTGTGAAGAAGACAAGGCGATTCCTGTTGAAGCGCAGTTGGGGATGATTAGGGGAGCACAGGAGATTGCCGAGGGGAGTAAGTTTTGCTCATTTCTTTTTTATTGCTTCCTCTTGGACCACTTTGTTGCTCTGTGGTGATAAATCTTCATATCATGAGAAGAAGGGGTAGAGCTCCAGAAGGTAAAGTCAAAATCGTTTCCCAGGGTCACACTCCTCCAACTATGTATCATTCCTATTTCTACCTGCGCAACCTCCTCCATACTCAAACATCATTCTATTTTTCGATCATCCAGTTTCTCCCAGAACTCTCAAGAAACTAACCACAAATTTGTGTTAGGTTTCGGCACGATCGAAAGTACAAACGCCGGCCATAGCCCATTTATAAGCCAACCGGAATGGCTGGCTGAGAAATTAATAAAAGCCGCTGGAAATCCTATTTGATATAGCGTGCGTGGGATTTTAGACAAGTAATTTGGTGGCATTTTGGAAATATAGTCACAAGAGGTGAAGAAGGCTAGTGGCGAAAATAGCTCGGCGGTTCCATATAGACTCAAATTTCAGAAAGGTATTTTGGAATTCGGGGTTTGCAAAATGGACTTGAGATTTGGTGTTTTCATTAGACGATATGTTATGAACATGAGAGATGTTGATTGCAAGTCTTCCTACAGTGCACTGTATGTATACCAGTATAACAATTCAATAATATAAGATAAGTAGACAGTGATCGTCCTCTATGCAAGCGAGATCAATGGCCGAAACGAGTACCTATGAATAGTCTTTACAGCTCAATATCATTTAAGGCTTAGATGTGAACGAGATCTATTCAATTATGGGCTTTGGAGTAGATAGAGGCTAAACTATTGCTGTATTTTTCCAGAATTACCCGACTTGTTTTGTGGTTGACTCATGGCTTCGATTAATCAATGAGATTTAAATATCCACCCCTAGCCGCAGAGACGAAGGGTGTTAAAGGATGTTATAAATATGGGGGAATCCAAGATCACACGATGCCATACTGTTGACTGTACCAGCAGTATTCTTCATTTGTTGAGGGATATAACAACAAAAAAGTATCAAGTCTGACCATTCATAGGTAAGATCTTACATTAGATGCTGATTTCCCGTCCATGATTTGGCAGATGTTAACCGAGGGGGCACTCATTTTTTCCCCTAAAGATTGACGGCTCGCTCTAAAGGAAGTCATACCTACTCACTTAATTGTTAGACTTAGATCATGATGTCTATAATTGTATTAGGTTCAAATCAACTTGTGTATTTTAGTATGGTTATCATACAATCATCCATTACGTAGGTACTTATTTGTCTTGCTTGTCGTGGCAGAGTTTCGGTGAAGCGTCTGTTGCTGGGGCAACGCGATGTTTGCGTTTTTGCAGGTAGAGCTTCAACATCAACCAAAACTTTGACATGGTTTTAAGGTTTCGAAAAACATCAACCCAACTAACACTCACTTGAATTGGTATAGAACACTCCTTGAGGGAGCGGGAAAAGGTCTTGATTCTGTTAATACAGTTCTTTGCTTGTCTGATACTATCTTGCATAATCGTTAATTCCATTCTTTCTTCTTTTCTGTTTGTTGATATCTATTCTTTACTTGTATATCCTTCGACTGTGATCATGTCTGTACGAGGTTAGTATTTTCTGCAGAAATCAATCGAGTCTCATCCCAAGCTGACTCTCTGAATAAGTCGTTGCCAGGATACGTCCTCTCCTACCAAAGGAATTGGATAAGGATACCATCGTGCGCGCCGAAAGTAGTCAAGACAGCAAAACACCCAATGTCGTCCGGATACCGAATCCAAAAAATGAGTCGGAGGAATTTAGTTTCACATTCAATGGGGTCTACGATATGGGAACAACCCAAGAAGAACTTTTCACAAACGAGGTTGCGCCCACACTGAAATCATTGTTCCAAGGACTCGATGTTACACTCTTTGCATATGGAGTTACTGGAACGGGCAAAACACATACAATGCGTGGTGGAACAAAGTTGGCAGACCGTGGGATTATACCTCGATTATTGAGCGGAATCTATCGACGTGGACGTAAGGTTGCGAAGGATTCTGGAGAGAATACCTCTGTTACTGTTACATTGTCCTACTACGAAATATACAACGACAAAGTCTTCGATCTATTCGAGTCTCCTGACAAGCGATCTCTTGCTGGCTTGCCACTTCGTGAGAAGGATGGGAAGACAATAGTCGTTGGGCTCTCGGAGAGGTCTTGCAATGATCTCAAGGATTTCGAAAAGTTATATATAGAAGCCAACAACAACCGGAGCACAGCAGGGACCAAACTCAATGCGCAAAGTAGTCGAAGCCATGCCATCTTGATGGTCAAGGTAACGCAGATTACTGGCGATGCGACCTTGATCAGTACTGCATCAGCAATCGACCTAGCAGGATCAGAGGACAATCGGAGAACAGATAATGGCAAAGAGAGAATGATTGAATCTGCAAGCATCAACAAAAGTTTGTTCGTTCTCAGTCAATGTATTGATGCTATCGGTAGAGGTGACAAGAGAATTCCATACCGAGAATCTAAAATGACACGGATTCTCAGTCTGGGTCAAAATAATGGTATCACTATAATGGTTTTGAACCTTGCACCACTGCGGTCTTACCATTTGGATACTTTGTCTTCCTTGAACGTAAGTTCAAGAGCAAAGAGAATAGAGGTCAGGGAAATTGAGAATGAGGTTGTATTTACGCAGCCACCCAGGAAACCAGCCGGAGCTAGTATGCAACGACAGCCGTTAAGACCCATCACGAATTCGCATAACACTGTAGCCAACCCAGCACAAAAGGCTGACAAACCTGCAAAAGCTTTCTCTGTATATACAGATAAAAGTAAATCAACTACAGCTCGACCGTTGGGCAGCGCTCCATCACTCCGAGGATCGAATTCAAATAAAAAGCGGCCATCCGATGGAGTCATCGGCTCACGGGTTACCAAACTCGCCAGACCTGTGCCATCAGGGTTCAAATCGTCCACAGTTGATATCTCAGCCGCGAAGATTGAGGAAATGGTTGAGCGCAAAGTCTCTGAAATCCTCGCAAACCGCGCCTTAGAACAGACATCGAAAACCACACCCACCGAAATTAGTGAAGCAGTTCAGAAGAGACTCGAGGCCCTGGAAAAGAAAATTGATGAGAACTCGGCGGAAGATGCGAGATCTGAAGGTCTGAGGTTTCTGCTTATGGCGAGACAACACAAAGAGCGCGGTGAAGAGACTAGCGCTCTCAAGATGTATGAGTAGGTTTTCCCAGCTAATCTATTTCTACCAAGTAACATTGACTAATTCTTATCAGGATGGCACTTCCTTTCTTCCCAGGTCAAGAGAAACTGCTCAAGAAGATTGAGCATCTCAAAAGCAAAATTCAAGCAAAGAACACTGGTGCAATCAAGCATTCAGTGCCGGTAGATTCAGAAATGCGAAAGCCTACAGCTCCTTTTATACAGCTGAGAACACCCACCAGTTCATTTCAGCAAGAGGATGAAGAAGTACGGCCCGTATCAAGAAAAAGTTCAGAACCTGACGCCGAGTATGATGCATCTTTTGTAAATCAGGAGGAGAATTATGAGGATGATGATAGCTTTTCACACAGAGCCGCCAAGTCAAAAAAGACAAAGTCCAAAACGACAACCAAATTGCGTGTCTTCAACGACGAAGCTTCTCTTAGCCTGCTGGATCCTCCCACACCTCGAACAAGACATCTATTGGATATTGTCAACTCCAGAGATGTAGGAATGATCAGGGGTCTCTGCGGAGTAGGTCCCAAGAAGGCTAGAGATGTGGTTGAGTTTCTAGAGCTACAGAATGAGGATGATGGCGGTCAGATCAAAACTCTACAGCAGCTCAGAGCTGTCCCTGGACTAGGAAGCAAAACCGTAGAACGGGCGTATGAGGGGATTGCGTTGCTGGTTTGAACTATTTGAGGCAATTTGCACTTTAAGATTAGGATTGTCCTTGCATAAACGGCCCTTTTGGAGCGGTGTTGGTGGGAGTGGGAGTTTTAATGGATAGGTCATGAGAATTAGCGGGCATTTCTGGAATGGAGTACTGTTTATTGGATATTTTATGATAAGGATTATTAAACATGACTTTATTTTCTGCAGTCTGTCCTCGCCAATCGATCATATCAATCATATAAATGTCAAGTGCCATGTTAACTGCCGAACATTTCGTGGATACTCTCCGCGGAGATTTGATATAAGACTATTCATCAAAGTAACGCCGAAGTTGACTCCTCTCAATCCAGTGATCATGATCATGATTAGGATAAAACAGAAATAGTGATAAGTATTTCCCATTCCCGTGATATTCAGGAAAGAATAAGGAACAGAGAACCTCTTCCACATCAATTACTCACGTGATTACCTACACAGACCTACTGCTGTCTATAACGCCACTGAGTGCCGACAAAGGCGCATACATAGAAAGGATGGATCTGCTTGCACAAGTAGTGTATCTCACAACCGAGAATTTGAGCCACACTTCCATAAGGAGAAGTGCAGATCTATAAAAAAAAAAATTGTATCATGGCGCCGGCATATATAGCCGAAGAAGACAAGCGTCTTTGAAGTTTGCATATCCATACTCCGTGGAGAGGAAAGAGTTCGGTAGTGATCAACATGGTTGGTGCAGACTGATCTCGGATAAGTACAATAGGGGTCATGATCTGCATACTGGATTTTCGATCTCGAAATTTATTGCGCAACAAATCGGCGTCAAATCTATTTTTTTAATATTATTTTCTAATATTCTTTCATCAAATATATCTCAAATATCTAAAGGAAACTCTAAATTTGAGCCACAGTTCGCTTTTACAAGACCCGAGCAAACGAACATCCCCGCCTTATGCATGTTCTATCACATCGCACGGCGATCTCACGTGTCAGATGCAAAGTCTGGGACTATGTAAAAATGGCAATGGTGAGGGGTACCAAGATTGTGGCACCAGCTCAGCAGAGGCTTATCGGCTCAATATCCGAAGGAGGCGAGAAATAACGGTATTGCACATTCTTCACTGATCGTCGGAGCCGATGAAACCGTGCCACATCTAGACCGATGATTATCGTCATCCGGATTTTATCCATGAAAACAAGGCGTGTGCCACCTTCACAGCCACAATTTACACGTGGACACAGTGCTGTTTGTGAGGAAGGATGGGTGGCGAATCTGGAGAATTTTTCCCATGGCGGCCTAATCAGGCTGCGATAGGTTCTCTGGGCTACATGCAGGCTAACGATACATGGGGATCAAACCGATCGGCAGGATATATATACATTTACATATACGTACTAGGCAGCGTACATGCTGCTATATTCCAAGGTTGTGGTTGAACTGCATATGAGGCTGTCTTGTTATCCAATCACATATCTGAGGCTTGTGTCTGCGGCTTGGATCTGCGGCTTGCGTG